TTTTAATGTGATAATGTTGTATGTTTGCATCCATCCATCCATCCATTTTCCAGTGGGGTGTTGGGGGCCTAGAGCCTATCCCAGGCAGGGCTACATCATATTTTAATGTGATAATGTTGTATGTTTGCATCCATCCATCCATCCATTTTCCAGTGGGGTGTTGGGGGCCTAGAGCCTATCCCAGGCAGGGCTACATCATATTTTAATGTGATAATGTTGTATGTTTGCATCCATCCATCCATCCATTTTCCAGTGGGGTGTTGGGGGCCTAGAGCCTATCCCAGGCAGGGCTACATCATATTTTAATGTGATAATGTTGTATGTTTGCATCCATCCATCCATCCATCCATCTTCCAGTGTGGTGTCGGGGGCCTGGAGCCTATCCCAGGTTGGGTTTCATCATGTGTTATTGTTTCTCACGCCCAGACCTCTGCTTGTCCTCCCCCCAGTGACCACACCTTTTGGGCTGGACTGCTCCTCCCTGGCGGCCCGCCCCCCGCGCCCCCCCGCAATGGCGTCACGGATAGGTCTGCGCCTGCAGCTCATGCGTGACCAGCTGCAGCAGGAGGAGCGGCGGGAGCGGCAGCAGCAGCAGCAGCAGCAGCATCAGGCTCTACACTGCATGCAGAGCCGGCCGCCCCTGCCGACCACGCCCGCCATCAATGCGCCCGCCCACTACCAGCCGCCTATGCAGGTGCCCATGGAGGTGCTCATGGTGAGTATCCGGGAGGGGTTGAGGGCAGGACTCGGAACTCGCGCATGGTTAGTGCAATCGGCCCGTGGGCATGGCCTGAACGTCAGAGTTGGCAGCATGTGAGGAATGTGACTGGGCACGCTGGCGTGAGGGAGGGGCTTCAGTTCAGGGATGAAGCGTGGCATTTGCAGGAGCGTGGAACGAACCGCCCCCGGTTACAGCCGACACCCAGAGATGACCCGTCTGATTCCCGTTCTTCATGCATGAGAGTCTCTTGCCCAATTGCACTGCTGCCCTACCTTCCCTGGATAGCACAGAACCAACCAGAACACTGAGACAGAGCTGGTGCTCACGGGGCCATGTGGGGTTGGGGAGGCCCCCTGGTGGTGGACTTTAGGGGGCCCAGATGTGGCATTAATCCCCTAATATGGCAGTGCGGCTGCAAAGGTAAACCTCGGGAATGTCGATGAGGCCAGCTGGATCCCCACGTGCTTCTGAGGCTGGTCGTCTGGGAGAGGCAGGCGGAAGGAGCCAGGGACCAGTGCGTAACGTAGGGGAGGAATGCGGTGGGACAACAAGCAGGCTCGGAAGTGAGGGACAGCAGATATATCTGTGACCGGAGACAAAGGCAGGCGGGGGCAGCATTCCGACCTGATTCCGTAGGCGCTTCTGGAATGTTCTTATCGGAGAGCTGTAGGCGGCGCGCTCTAGAAGGGGTTAAAGCTGTCTTTTAAAAAATGCACTGATCTGGTCGCCCCGGTGTGGATGCAGCATGTGTTTCTGTGTCTGACCTCACGAGGACACAAGTGGGACACTAACAGCTCTTTAACCCTGTATCCACTGAGTGATTCTCAGAAAAGGCCAAGATCAGTCTAGATTAATAGTTATATTAAACATACGGCAATTAGCGACAGGAGGAAATGATGTAGTGTCTCTCACTTCAGCACCTGACTTTGGGTGTGTGTGCAGTACAGTTTATGTTTCAGGGGATTACAGAGGTCCTGTGAATAAGATGGAGTTCCTGTTGTGGTCGCATGAGGATGAGTGTCTTTCCTAGGGGGGTTACGCTGCCCAAAGCCACTTGTCGCACTTAACAGCAATGTTTCATGAGAAAACACGTGTGATGTGACTGCCCGTCTGGGATAAGCAGCACGAGCGTATGCGCAGCAGGAAGAATGGGGACGGTGCCCACGTGCAGCTGTGAAAGGTTACAATAATGTTTTGTTTTCTTCAAAATTTTAAGAAATTAGAATGAATATGCTATATGAATGAAGCCTTGGTGTTTCCTGAAGATTGTGTTTTTCCTATAACCACTGACAGCCCCTCAGCGGGTAAGTCAGATGCGTAAGCCCCGCCCTTAGCCACGTCACGTCTGTCCGTCAAGCTGTGTCACATGCCTTAGGCTGCAGACCCAGTACCACCCAGCCATGTCATCTGCCATGGCTGCGCCTGCTGCTCTTCAGACTAGGGGATTTCAGTCTGGGAACTACCTACTACTGCATGATCACAAAATTAACTATGAACTGGGGACTGATTATACTAACATTTTGGCAAAAATTGTTGTTGTTACTATTATTATATATAAATAACTTTCAGGTTTCAGTTAAGCAGCTTCCAGAAAGCGCTTCGGCTGCCCTCTGACTAATGTTTTTGCCCCCCTCCAACCCCTGGCAGGTCCAGACGAATCTGGAGAACCCCACCGACTACCACATTCGCCAGTCCCAGCGGCAGCAGGTGAAAGAGTATCTGTCAACCACCTTAGCCACCAAGCAGGTGGTGCAGGCTGTGGCGGGGGTGCAGCCCTCGCCTCCGGCCCCGCCCCCTAGCCGGCAGGCCGTCCCACCTCCCTTGCCGTCTCCCCGCCTGCGCACTGAGCAGCTCATCAGCTCGGCGGGTAACAGCATGCCCAACAGCCCCATGGCCATGCTGAACATTGGCTCCAGCCACGAGAACGAGGTACCCGTCCTTAACAGGCACATGTGAAACTTTTCTGCCAATAGGGGGCGATGTGTAGGACTTTATCTCGGTTGCATCCTTAGCCACTTGTGGAGTCCCCCTACAGTGTCCCCACGCTGTCTCTGTGACTCTTGCAGAAATAATATAACAACTCCTGCAAATGGGCGTCCAGGCTCCCGATGGCCCTGCTTTAAAACAGCCCACTCATGCGTTAAAATGAACAATAAACACGCTGCAAGTGTGCTGAGGTCACCATTTCACTTTATATGGCTGAGCAAGAGTAAACAGTCATTATGGATGTTGGCCCTTTCAAAGACCAAACCATCGCTTATGCAGGTTACTTTGAGAGTTGACACATGGTATATTACTCACGGATTGTAAACGACACACACCATGGACTGTAAAAGGTGCTATAAACAAACAGCGAAGTGTTCGCTCAGCCAGGCTGCTGCCCGCATCGCGTTGACCTGCTCAGACCCTTTCCCCCGCCTTTGACCCTGTGCCAGAAGCACAGGCCAGAGCCTGCCCAAAGGTTGAAGATGTTAACTTCACTCTCATTGCAGTTTAACTCCCCAATTATGGCTGTGACAGTGTAATTAGAGTTTAAAGAGTTACGGCGTGCACTTAACAATGCAGACTTTGGTCTCTGCTGGTCTCTGTCTGTGGCAGGCTGCAGTGTGGGTGAAACCTGTCAGTGCCCAGAGTGCAGGGACATGATCCAGAGCCGTCAGCATGCTACACTCTGCTAAAGCCCAGGTGCTAGCAGGCTGACATTATGAACCTGGCAGGATGATACAGTCTGCAGGCTAAAGCCCAGGTGCTAGCAGGCTGACATTATGAACCTGGCAGAATGATACAGTCTGCAGGCTAAAGCACAGGGCTAGCAGGCTGACATTATGAACCTGGC